AACACATTTGCACATATCTATAGTCTTGCCAAATGAGGGCAAAACTTTAACCTTGCGATGCAGCGGTTAGTGTGACTGCTTCTGTTTCCACCTGCAGTGGTCTGCATGCCACACACAGGGTTCACAAGGTTTAAATTATTCTTCTTTTGTGTGAAAAGGTGGTGGAGGTTTATTGCCTCTCTTCATTGCAATGAATATGCATCATCAATCCAGCGCTCCTAGTAGCACAAGGTTGTAATTCTTTCCTCTTCAGAAGCTTGCATGAATCATATATGTTGTGTAGTAATGGGCAATGACTGAATGGAGCGGGATACGGGTCAGCTTAACAGGGTGTTATAATGACAAAGAGGAACATTAGCTAAGGAAATAAACTCTCTGAATCCCGGCCAAACACGCTGATTTAATCCAGCAGAGCCAAAAACACCCACCTGATGACATTGAATATGCAATTAGATGGATATTATGGTACATGTTTCACTTTTTGACCCTTGCTGTCATATAAAGGTGCAAATAAGTGCCTTGTCCATTTATCTAAACATACATCCTCGACACTTCGCTGAATGAAGACCATCACCTACTGAAAATAAAATACTTATCTCCGCGCTCTTACATCCCCAACATGAAGACCTATCAGGAATCCTGCATGGGTGGACATGTAGGCTTTCCTAGGAATGACAGGGTCTGTTAGAGAGGAACCCCACCCTCGCTTTCTCCAGCATGCCAACACAGAGGAGAGTGGGCAGCGCTGAGACGGCAGCCTGCCGTGGGCACTGCCAGGCTTAAAGCTGCCCTGTCGTCATCAGAGGCTTGCAGAAAAGAACACTGAGATTCACCAAAAAAAGAGGAGGGGGATCGTTGCATTTAAATCCTCTCTCAACGCCCCCACATGTTTTAGCAAAGCATAAAAATCATTCACGGAGAGAGAGAAAGCGAAAAAGAAAAAGATAGAGAGAAATAGAGAGGAAACAGCTATTAGCAGCAGTAAGCAAGCTCAAGAGATCATAGTGAGGCAGCTCTAATCGCAGTAATGGTTTAAACCCTCATTCCATCCACCAGATGCAAGAAATGTCTACCCAAAAACAAGGCTTTGAAATCCCCCATGTCTAAGAATGTGCCCTGTGGCTATGGTCCTTGCTAAAAAAAAAAGAAAGAAAACAACAACTCCAAAACTGTCTCCAATTTTGGAGTAACTACGTGGTAAAGATAGCAGTGCTGTGGTCTGTGTTGTTTACACCAACTACATCAATGAAAGATGACCATCAAAATATCGACTAAAATAAGTATTTTAAATGATGTGCAACCTACATAAATGCCTGTGATCTCAGGTGAGAAATCAAACATAACTATGCTTATATGGATGCACATGAGACCCTTTAAAATATAGAACTTAATTAGTTAATTAAAAAAAAAAAAGTTGACACTATGCTTTGTTAGACGGTTTGCAAAAAAAAAAAATTCAAACTAAAATAAATGTAATCAGGCTTTTTACAATGTGCATGAAAGATTTAATTAAACACAAAGTTCGTGATGGTTTAAGATGTAATTTGCTTAAACGTTCTTCGGTTATGCCAAATGCACACTTGGATGACCTACCACGCAGCCAAATATATACAGGGTTTTTAATCCTTTACATTCAGGAAATTCTTTGCCGTCTTTTTTTCTTTTCTGTAGGCACAGCTTTATTTCAAAGGTTTTCTGTCCTTCAGCCAAGTTTACTGGTTCTCCAAAGAGAACACGAGGAACACACGTCTACTACTTTGTGTGAAACAAAATCCCCCCCAAAATATTTTGGCATTTGCAGTAGATATAAAAGCTAAAAGGCTAACAGCACAAGGTGTTGATTCTTTTGACCTTGCATTAATGTATACAGGATGACATGAAGTTACTTAGAACAAGCAGCTGAATGTGAATTTTACAATGTACCATGCTGGAAAAAACTTCATTTAATACTAAGCTGACACCCAGACCTCTGCAGCACAAGAATATAATTCACATATTTCAACTAAATATATTTGTCTTGTGTAAAAAAAAAAAAAGAAGTTAGTTCCTATTACGCTTTTGGTTACTTACTTCTGATCATCTTCAAAGACACTTTATACGGCAAGGTGTCAATGGAGTTCAAAAATATGTGTTGGTTTAAAAAAAAAAAAGAAGAAGAAGAAAAAAACAGGAAGGCTTTTATGAGTACACAGCACTGTACCCATAAAAGTACAGTTCTGTGCTTTTAACATGAGACCCATCTTGTGTTAAACCTACTCAGCATGTCGTTTACAAGGGAGAAAACAGCTCTGAATGTCTCTCTCCCAGAGGTCAATAAATAACTAGGATAACTTATTGTCATTCCTACACAGTATATGCCAAATATCTTTGTCTTTCTTCTGTCATTTGATTGTTACCTTTTACACACAGATGCTTCTGTTGAGACTGGGGCAAGAAGCAAGGTTTTTCGACTGAAGTAATGTCCCTAATTTCCACAAAGACCCTAATTATAAGGTCTTTATACTATGTAATTTTGTATATTACAACTAGGATTACAGTCAAGAAAAGCTACATGTCTCATTTTAAGAAAAGATGGTGATCGTTTGCGCTCTGCCTGGGTATAAACCATTTAAATGGTGTTTCAAAGAATATCATTTAGTGTAACAAAAATCTAAACATAGCTATATTGTGCATTGCCCTCAAAACACAAACACTATCCTTAAACGCTTCTTGGCCTGTATTGTCTCCTTTGGTCCAATGTTAATTAACACTTCGCACTACCTTTACTTAGCTTCACTTATTAGACTAACTGCAATCACGCTACGTTATTATAGTTTAGTCTCATTAGCCAATACATATCCCACTCACATCAAACTGTAGATGCTTTTGAGGCTTCGGAGTGTAATTAGGATTTCTAAAAATGCTTCATTAACACACATGCCAGGTTTTTATAACACATAAGTTCAAGTGGTGAGTAGTAGCTCTGAAGTTTGGACACAGTAATCTGCAGTTTTTGTGGCCCTTTGCTTTTGTTTTTGGTCATGAGCACGTATTTAGAGGCAGGTTTATGGGACTACTGCCCATTGTGTTCCATTACAATTACTCAGCAGGCATGCATCCCATCCCAGTAATGAAGTGGGTGTTACAGTGGGTGGATTTGAGCGGCCACTATTCTGTATTCCTGCTATTGGGTACAAGGGCTGAGTGGCAGAGAATAGCAGCAGCGCTGGAAGAATGGCACGGTGACAGAAAGCGTGGTGGACCAGCAGACCAACCACAGAACCACGGGCAACGATCTGAGCCTTCAATAGTGTGTGTTTACATAAGTGTCAGGAGAAATGGAGAATTACATTTCAAAGCCCAGTAAACAAAGTTTGTATTGATTTAATCTAACATGTAATCTGTTTTGCTGTCTGACACTGATTCTGGCAATAAAAGAGAATCATGTAAGACAGCATTATAGATAATACGACCATAGATCAAATGGAGTTTGGGCAAGAGAAGGGCCATAGATCATGTTCAAGCTAGACTGCTTAGCTCTGGAATTCATAAACTACCTCCTAAATCGAGGTGGCTTTCAATTTAAGTTTTCAATTTACAGATGTAAGATTTTCAACAGGGTTTCTGTGGATGGGGACGTGTATCTCTTTCAATCTGCCGCTCAACAGTAAACCTACACAGAAGATGGCCCACTGATATAAAACCAAATATACTAAACAGATCCTCTAAATGGATTTCTGACATTAAGCATTTTAGGAGAATAATACAACATGACATTCAAGACCGACTATATGTACTGTCAAAGCATTTTCAAAACCTGTTTCCCTTTTCAGTTTACATGGTATAAAAAGGTATATAATGTTAATGTCTTACTCTCCTTTCAAGCATTTCCAGTATTCCTATTATCATTATTATCATCTGTAAATAACATTCTTACTCTGCAACTTTTTTAATCATCTATATCACAATTATCCAAAATTTTAACACCGTACTCAAATTTTAAACTGTAGTTTTAATTTAAGTAGTTTGGTATTATGCTCAATCCAGCCCCATCATTTTGATAAAAGAATTATTTTTATTGCAATTACTAATTAATTTGTGTTAATCTGATTTGTCAAAGGGCTACTGTATTTCTGAACTTGAATGAAAGTTTTAAAACTTTATTGACACTTGGATATTGTTTCATACACATATTTTCTGAAGCTCTCACAGCTTTGTTTGCTGTCCGCTGCAGTTTAGTCTAATAACTGCAACTGACAAGGATGGAGATTTACTGTCTGTAGCTGTAATGCAAGATTTTTTCCTGCTTTTTTAAACAATCAATACTCACTTGGTAGTGAATTAAGAACACCAAGCAGTATTAACAACTTACCAATTTATGTTATCTGACATTCTGTATGGTATAAACTATATGTGTAGATACAACATAACCTTTGTTTAACAGAATTACGGGCATTCAAGTATGAGGTGCTAGCACCACCCTTTGGTGACAGAGATTACTACAGTGAATCAATAAGCAGTGCAGGTAATGCATGTAATAGAAGGTGACATAAATATTCTAAACTGGAGAGCTGGCTGACATCTAAAATATTAATACATGATTATCAATTAGCAGTTCAGTTTTGTAAGTATTTTGTTTCTTTTGATACTAACCTCAGATCTGCTATGCTGAGGTTTACATGCAGCTTATTTAATCCATTACTGCACTCTAGTGTCAAATATAAGCATGTGCACATCTGCAAATAAACCCATTGTACACAAAGACAACATCTAACAGCCAGTGTTATGTTTAAATGTCCCCATAAACCTTCAACCATAATGCAGACCTCGTTCTCTTAGGTATAGTAAACATTCATCGGTTGAATAAATTACACATAGAGAGATGGAAATTTCTGACTAAAATCTGCAGTATGCAGCTTAAGCAGTTGCTGTTGGACTATTTGATTATTCTGATATCCGGCATACAGCATAAACACACTGACACACACACACACACACATACACACATGCACACACCTTACCTGCTTTGCTCTGGAGAAGTAAATCTGTGGGGCTTTCCAAATTGTGCTGACTTTCTCTCTGAATTTCTGGTCTTTTGGAATTATGAGACATTTGTCGATGTCCAGTTCTGGATAGATCACTTCTAGTCCACCACTTTATAGAAGAGATAAAAGATCAAACTCATTCAACATGGTTTTGTATTACATTCTGTACTGAAGACAAAGTGAACAGGTTCACATCTAAGACAAACACAACCAGTTTGTTTAAAAAGGCTCCAATGTTGCCACAAGCAACATATGCTTAGTATAATATTTTGGGAGAAAATGAAGCGATGGTTCATATTCTATAACTGGCATCTTTTATGTATCATTGCAATTGTTAATTACACATTATAGGCTACTTACTGACAGAAAGAAGTATCCAGAGTGTTCAGGGTCTGTTGTGTTGCACCCAAAATGAAGGCAGAAAAGACCAAGAAAGGTGCCAGTCCAGCCTGCAGAATAGCAGAGTTCGGTTAGAGAAGAATCTGTCATTTTTAACTCGTAACTTTCTTGAGGAATGCTCAAATTTCAGAATTGCACTGTCAGATTCAAACAGTATTGTTCTACACAGCAGTCTAACGAAAACAGTCAATTACACTGTGACAGTCGAGATCAAATGAGGCCTGTCTATACTGACAGGTTTACAAGAGTGTCACAATATTTGACGCTGTGTTTCATTTGGAATGAATGACAGTTCAGTGGCAGTTACATGTCCTTCATCTGTCAAGCAGTATAGCTCTCGAACAGCAAATAAACAAAAACACAAACAAAAAAAGATGTTTGCCAGCCAATAATGGAATGTACTGTCACTGAAGTGCTTTTTAATTACAGCTGTGACACGGTGCTGAACTATAACCAACAATTATTTGTATTGTCTGAAATCTGTCGAACACTTTGTCATATCTCGATGTTTGTTAAGAAGATAGTGCCTTACTGATATATCGGTCAGCTGATATTATCCACTGATACTGGCTAATCACAGGTACAAAAACGTTTTCTTCCAGACATAAAAAGCAGGAAAAGTTGCTTGGCGTAATTTTGAAATGTTGTCAACCTAAAGTTTGTCTAGCTGAACCTGTTTGGACTTGATCATTTAAAATCATCTCAGCACTGTCTGCAGCACATGTAGCAGAGCATCATTACAGCTGAATAGAAATACATTACTGGGAAGGTAATAAACAATGACCAGTATTTTTCCTTTTTAATTTAACTCTAACACATACATAAATAATATCAGCCAAAATATTGATTTTAGAACGTTTTACTTCCTGTTATTGGCATCTGCATCCAAAATCCAGTCTTTGTTGGACTCAGTAAGAAAAGCAAGCAACTGTTTAATGTCAGAAGCTAAAGCCGGGACATTCTTATGCATTTTAAATGTTATTACTTAAATGACTGAGGTATTGTTATGGCCCTTGGTGGTCTTGTGCCTTCCTTTCTTATGACAAATCCTTCTTGACCCTGCTTCGTGCATGTAAATCGTTTATGTAGATTCCTGATCAGGACTTGTTCCTGTGCATTCCCCACATCCTGACTATCATCCTGGCTGACTGGTCTGGAGCTCTAGCCCTTGCTCCTCTTCTGCCTATCCTTGTGACTGTTTGGTCTGCTGCCTAGACCTGTATACCAGTCAAGCTGCAGCAATCTCTCCACCTGGGTTTAAAAGTGCACTAACCTGTCAGTCTTGGCAGCAGTGATTTAACATGAACAGCTCAGTTCAGTGTCTCTTGTTATCCTTGTGTATTCTTATGTACCACTTGCTAGTAGCCTTAGGTTTTCTGTATGTGCTAGCTGATGCTTATTCGACTTCATGTTTCGTAGAAGCACTTAGCAGCAGATGCTTGTAGCTAAGAGCCCTGTGATTTGTGTAACAAGGACCTCGCTTGACTGCTGGATAATGGGCAAGACTTAGCTTTTCTAGGTACACCAGGAGCAGAGGTGCAGCCACTTTTGCTTCACAGTTTGGTTAGGAAACGCTGTGGTTTTCTTTTGTAGTTTCTGTAGGCCCCTAGAAGAGCTGGAATGTCACAGTGATTGTAGACACAGTTGGTGAATAAGCTTCTCTATTGAAAAATCAATAGTGTGACAGATAGTTTCACTTTAAAGAACTCTGTGCCACTTCAGGTTCTGCATCCATTTCATCTGCTGTGAAATCTCGGCCAATCAGAGCACATTTACACACCTGACCTCACCTGAACCTGTTGGATGAGATGACACATCAGCAGCACCACACTGCACATCCTGTTTACCTTGAAAGCACTTGTGTTACTTGGCGTTTTTATCTACATTTAATATCACTCTGACTACAAAATGTAATCTCGCGTTAATTTCCATTTCACCCGTTGGGGTCACGCGCAACTTAAAAATAATGCTAATACGTTTCTATATTTAAACTTTAAGTCTGTTTCTGTGAGACAGACACACCTTTCATGTCTTTACTTTCTATAATTTCTTCCCTAAAGACACATTTAACGCCACAACAGAAGTGGCTGTCACTTGTCTCACGACGACAATATAATTAAAGCAGTTGTAAAGTACTAACATTAGCATACATTTAGCCTTCACTTGCTTTAGCATGTTTATATTTATAGTGTGTCACGTTTCAGACGCCGACACAGCACAATTTATCACGTGTACGTGCAGACAGACAGCAGACGATAACTAAAACGACATACAGGCTGCAGCTGTGTAAAGTAGCATTAGAGTAACTACAGTCATTTGTCAGTAACTCTACCATGTTTCAGAAGTTGTCCACTTGTGTTTTGCAGCAGGTTTCTTCTTCTGCTTCTTCGAGTGCCGTTGCTGCTGCCGCACCTGCGCAGTACCGGATCCTACTGACGTATGAGCCTGCAAAAAAGTTCCGTATGACAAAACTAAAACAACAAACTAACTAACTACCTAAAAACAAAACACAACAAAAAAGGACAGAACTAAAACTAAAAAGAAGAAAACTAAAAAAAAAAAAAAAGACAAAACTAAAACAGCTGGTTAAAAAAAAAGTAAGGCAAGGTACCCAGACTGCACATGTTGCTCCTTGTTTATTTAGTAAATATTATTTACACATTTTCAAGAACACATGCTACAGAATTTCAGATTTACAGCTCCTAAACAATAAAAACAGCTCTTCAGAACAAAAATACCTGGTGACTAAGGAAAACGTCACCCAGGCTTTGAACACTGAGAAAACATTCAAGTTTTTTTTCTTTTCTCTTATTGTCTTTTTTATTTAATTTTCAACCGTTTCTGAACAAGGCCTCTTAAACTATGCAGTAGTGATTGTGCAGCATATAATATATTCCTGGTGCTGCTAAAGCTCCCTTTGGTTTGTGCTTCTCTGCAGCTGTGATATTAGCACCCAAACATATGGAAAAGGGCCCCAGTGACAACTTCTTTGTAATTTATGATCTAATTTTTTTTTCTTCTTTTTTTTCTTCTTTTTTTCTACCTGATGTTGTCTACTTATCTAATGATGTTGCAATACCCTCTAATGCAATTTGAATAGAACGTGGTGCTACAAAGCAGTGCAAGTTTGTAGTTTCAAAGTCAGACATTTCAATATGCATAGTACAAAACAGTATCTATGTTAAACTATGCAATAGCTTGTATCAATTGCTATGCCAAGTTTGAATTGCAGAAGTCATCACACAATATATATTTACATGTTTGAGTTACTAACTAACTTCCCATTTCCACACTGTTGCAGCATTTTGTAACTATGCAGACTCAAAACTTGGAGCTTGTCAGCATAAAGAAACTTTAAAATAATGAAACAAATTTGAAATCCCTGCATTCATTTCATGGTTAATGTCACAAATTGATGGTTCGTCATTAGTCTGGTGTGGCCTTGATGTCAGAGTCTTTAATTAGTTTCGTTTTCCAGCGGTAAAAGGACATAAATCCTAAACAGTGTTCAAACTAAAGTATACTCATCAAACTCCTCGAATCGCTCACCGACTGATTGCTTTACATCCAAGTTATGGATTATGTACATTTATGAATACACGCACAGCCTAGAGAGCACCATGGTAGCTGAAGATATAGCAAACAAACTAGTGACCACAGTAACACTACTTTACATTCAATACCATACACTACAGTACACTGTACATTAAGGCATGAGGTGTTCTTAATGCAAAACATCAGCAGAAGATTCACTGAGAAATGCAATGCACTGAGGAATGAAATGCATGTCTATGAGCTTTATCAGTCACACCACCAAGGCAAATTATAACAACATAGACTCTCCTGCTGTTCACCTGTTACACTAAGCTATATTTTGTGTGTACTGGACATTATGTCATAATAAATCAAATCATTCAGAATTTGGATTAAGCTGTCTCTAAAAGAGTACAATCTTTCATCCGTCCTAATGTCTGACTATGTATGCCAAAAGTTTCGAACAATTAAGATATTTAAATTGACGGTTACTATATTTAACTAGCAATAGACCATTTAATGTAATTGAGATCAATTTAAAGCTACTACTGAGAGCACCAGCACCACCACTTATCTATGTCTTACATTTTGACTGATGAAAAATATAAATGTTGTCTATTCTGGTGAGCCCTGTTCATGCAGTGTAGTTATTAGATCAGGAGTTAATACAAGCAAGAAATTGGTTTTGCCACTGAATTGATTCATACCACGTGATCATTTTAAGCTCTTTGCTGGGCTCTAAATGTCTGTCTAATCAAAAAAGCGGAAAAGGACAACCAATCATATACAGGATTGAAGCAAGGCTTTCTTTAACATATGCTGCAAATGCAAATGCTGCAATCAGAATGTACTCTTTGACAATAAAGCATGTTTTATGGATGTACCATACATCTTTAAAATGTCATTTATATGAGTATGTGTCTACTTTACTTTGCACTGTATTCCTATTTTACTATTAGTCAACTGTTTATTTGAACTGCCTGTAATTTGCATGTATACTACAGTATATAACAGATGTAACTGGAGGTCAGCACAATGAGTATTCAGGTATTTTCAACAACAGTTTGTAGCTGCACAGTAACTAAATGCAAGTTGGATAAGTCAAGTCTATATTCAGTATATGTATTACTTAGTAATACTGTAGGATTCTGCTCACTGCCTGCAGTGCACAATATTAGGTAACAGCACATAAAAGTGATGCAAGTTACTTGCAGTTCATCTGATACGTCATATAATTTACAATACTACCCTTCTTCACTGAGCAGCATAAATCCAAACAATGCTGCAGTCCATCCTATGATCAAGTACAAGAGAAGATGACAATCTTGAACATGTGAGGTGTGCAAAACAAATCAAGAAAAACCATTTGATCTAAACCTCTTCGGAACGCTTTTGGAAACATTTTAAATATCTTGGTCTCGTGTCATCTCCAGTTCCTTTTTTAAAAATCTGCTTCAACGTGTCGTGCCACCTTCCTGTCTTTTACCAGGATGCTGCTACTGGAGGTTCTTGTGTGTGTCTCTGTGGAGAAGAGTCCAGAAAGTGCTCGAGGTGTTATGAGGAGTATGGATGGCTTCAACCAGATGTGAGGAAGCCTCCTGCATGTATAAGTCTTACGTAGTCAACTGCAGATAGTCGGGGGGCATCATCTGATCAACTGAGATAAACCTCTAAAGGCCAAATCGCCACCAGTGATGTGACAGTCACAGAGGGATGGTAACGTCCGTGTGGTCGCTTCAGTTGTGGAGATGCTGCTATTGGTTCTGAGATGTGTCACGTGTTGCTTTCCAGGGGGGACTGTGATCAAGATGATGGAACCATTCAACGTAAAACTAAAGGACTCAGAAAAACATGTGTGCTAACAAGCCTCATCAAGCAACACATAGGAAAATAATAGTGATCTGGTTTGTTTTTGCTGGCATTTTACAGAAAATACAGATATTTTCCTTGATTTGGGATCTCTTGTGTCTCAGGACACTGAATGCATTCATGTAAACTAAAGCCCTTTTGTGACAAGAGGCCACAAAACACAAGATCACAATACGTAAATGCTGAGTGTGTCCAGACTCACATCACTTTTAGCTGTGCAAGCTGAACACAAACATTCAAAAATAGAATGACTGTACAAAAATAAACGGGAGTAGAAGTTGCCAATATTTTCATTTATGCATATATGGTCATAATAAGCATGGTCAGAATGAATGACTTGAACAACTGACTCTGGGCAGGCCATGCTATTGTTACATCCTGTTGATGAGATCATACTGTACACACAGTTTGGTAGATTGTACAAACACTTAAGGGCAAAGTGTTATATCTCTGAGACTTGAGTTCTGTGTTGGATTGCTGGTTGTTGCAGCTGATAAGCAGCACTTGGTTATCAGTTCAGGTTAGCTGTTGATAATTATGACCACAGGTGGAAAGTTCTGTGCCAGCAGAGTCCTATTTTTAAAACTTTAAACCCAGATGGTGGAACACATAACAATCCATATGAGTTGATACTGGCGCCAGTTAGACTGTGCCATTTATCAGTAGGGTTTATATCACTGAGGTTTGAGTCTCATGTATACCAAGCTGAAAATCTAAGGAACAAAACTCATTACTTTAACCCCCAGACTGAGCAGACCTTGCAGGCCTGGAGTGTTGTTTGACTGTCGAGGCAAACAAACAAGAGGAGAAACTGTGTGCCTGAATAATTGGGACGTATCTAGCCAGCAGTGCTTATCTTCAACTGCATCTTTCACAACTTACATCCACACTGATGCACTGCAGAGTGGACCTGCCCGTAACACTTTGTCAGATGACAGCAGATGAGCCAGAGGAAGGAGAGTTCGAGTTAGGGGAGGATGGAAGGTTCCAGAAGAGCCACTTGCGTTTACATTGCCGTCTCTGGTACAGGTAGTCCTCCTTGTCACGTTCCTTGCGTGCTCTTTGGTAGTGGTCATCTTCTTTCAGGTACCACACAGGTGGCCAGCGATGTTTCTCAAAGTATTCTTGGTTCTCTGTGTCAGAATAAACAGTTTCAGGAGTTTTTTTTTTGTAAATGTCATGTAGGAGTTTTATAGATCTATTTTCAATAGTCCATTTCCCCAGAATGGGTTTTGAATTAGATACTATAATGCAATAACAGAATGTTTTTGTGTGTTAAAAAAAAAAAAAAAAGCAACCTGAAAGCTGCTTTACAATATAAACTAACTACATAAAGTCTAAAGTGGGATTGGACCGCTGACTTTAATCTGGTTTTACAGATTTCATTTTAATTGGCCAGCTTTCTTTAAAGTCTACGCCATGCTGTAAATGGCCACACAAGGGACAAGTCACAGTGACCTATAGCCCCCAAGGTGTATTGTTGTTGTTGTTGCTGTTGTCAGGGTAGTATTCAGTAAGAACAAGAGGGCATTAAATGTTGTCAGTGTGGTAGCAGATCACATGTACGTTACCTGTAGACTTGGCCTTCATGTCTCTGGGAAACTTGCGGCAGACGCTGTTGTAGTTGGTGCAGATGTGGTGAAGACACCAACCAGTGAGCTGTTGGGCACCATGGAACTGTCAACATACAAAATGTTATTGTCATTTCTGCAAGTGACCTGTTTTGTACATGAGAACATTGTGGGGTTTTGGTGTTGCTTTGAAAGTAGATATTCTCTCATTTGAGTGAAACCTAAAGTAATGTGCAGGACTCAAAGCAATTCATATTAATCCAACAGTAATTATGGTACATCAGTGTTGAGTTGACCTTACATTCAGACTGTCATGTTTACATTTGCTTTGTCAGAGGCTCCATAGTTACATACAATTTTCAGCTGCACTATGGAACTTCACTTTAACTGTACGTTAAAGGCTAACAACTGCATGATAGCATTAGCATACTAATTTTAGTATGCAGGGATTATAATGGCAACTGAGAAAGTACAACTGAAGGTGACCAAGTAAATTGGAAACTGACACGGTCTGAGTTGTATTAACCCTTTTGGTACCACCAGACTCAGGGCTCTATAAGACCTCAGAACCCCTTCCACTCTAATAAAATGATAAATATGTCAAAACATATTTAACCTGCCACACTGAAAGTTGGTGGATAGTTTCCCCATAGGCCAGTGTTTCACATATTCCAAACTGGTAGCAATAGCACCACCATGTGTGTACATATATTGATGGCTAATGTCTAGGTCAGCAGTTTCAGTGGATGAGGCTGAGGAGGACACATATGCTGTGCACATTTGGGTCAAAATGCCATTATGACATTTTTATGAAGCATACTTTTACCTCCCTATTCTACATTTTTTATCCTATCTCAACCGATCTTCATAAAAATCTTGCCTGCTGTAAGTTTTGAATGCTTTATTAAATTAATATCAAATTTAGGTCAAGCCTATGAGCCCTGACAAGACCGCCAAGTTTCATGAAGTTTACTTAAAAAATAAATTAAAAAATAAGCATGTGCTGAACGCTCATGGCTACTTCTTTCATATGGTAAAAGCAAGACACATGGTTCAGTTTTTGAAAGGTCAAGATATTCAGTCCAATTTAACTTGTATATGTCTTTACTTTTGGGGGTGTGATCGAATCAATTCTAACTGTTACAACTCTTGAACAGTTCATTCAGTTTCAATCAAATTTGGACCTATTTCCTACTTTGGCTTGAGCTATGGTGGTTGGCCAGCTATGTCGGGGGCTTCGCTTTTGTTTTGTGATGTTTCGGCCTCTCAGCAATCAGACACAATTTCTTCAGAAAATGCACTTTCTTGTTTAAATCTCGTTTTTGTATTTCTGTGGTGAATATTGACGGCGCAGTCTAGTTGCAGTTGCATATTCTCCCTGTGCCTGTGTGAGTTTTCTCTGGCTAGCTTGTTCAAACAGTCCAAAGACATACACAGTAGGTTAAATGGTGATTATAAACTAGCTGTGAATATGAGCATGCATGGTTGTCTGTCACTTTGTTTTAGCCCTGTGATGAGCTGGTGAGCTGCCTCGACTCAATGTGAGCTAGGATAGGCATAGCTATTGGATGGAACAATAAACATTACCAAAGAAATTCGAAATTAATCAGGTTATTGCAAAATTAACATGTAGACTTTGTCTGGTGATCAGTCCAGCCTTGCATATGAAACTGACAAGCTTGAGCTAAAGGGAAACTACAACAAGAAGTGAACTAAAGTGCTGAGCCTGATACCTACATCCTAAATGTTCCACATCTGTTGCCATCGCCATCTATTTGCAATCTAAAAACAGTTCCTTTGGCCCCACCTACTGGGTGTGAAGGCTGTTTCAGCCTCCAGGGCAGCTTCCCCTGAGAATTAAATAAGAGCTTTAAGCACTGTCCCTGTTTGAGATGATTGACAGGTCACACTACCTGGGCCATATCCAAGTACACCAGCACATCTCCATCAATGTCAGCGCCCATCATTGCTGCCTCCGTCAACACTGTTACTGTGTAGAGTTCTGAAAGAAACATTGAAGCTAATCACTGTAGGTTCTGATGTGGAAATGCATACAATGGGTTTGTGTAATACAATCCTGTAGTTTACAGTGTAATAACTATATCAAATGTAATACCTGTAAGTGCAACCAGGTGGGGGAGGCAAAGACGATTGGCAAGAACAATAAGCTCCATTGCATCCAGGTCAGGTCGAGAACAAAACCGCCCCGTGTAGAGATATTCTAGCACAGCCCTCATACAGCTGCGAGTGGTGTTGGGGAACAGCACCTTAGAAACAGATGGGAGATGTGGCACAGTCATTACTTAAGAGATCAAAGCTTTAACTGGTCCACTGGTTAACTGGTCCAAAAATAGAAATCTGCTTTTCACTTTTATATTTACACAATGCAATGAACGCTGAATTGAAGAAAGGCAGGTATTTTCAATGTAAATGTACTTCTAGCTCTACTTTAGCTGCAGCAGTAACGACAGAAATAAAAAAGAAAAACATTGTGTGACAGAAACTCAAAGCTGATAATTGGTCAGTACGTCTAAAAATAGCTTTAGAGAGCCATCTGATTTTTGATCATTTGAAATAACAGTTTCTAAATCGCGAACCATCTATTATTATTTCTGTTAAACGTATAATCATTGACTTGTTTTATTTTCTGTCAAAGTAGAAAAACCAAGTAACAAAGCTCAGACAACTGCATTATGTTTGGATCAGAGAAGTCAGCTTAATTGTATTACAACAGATTTGCAATCCTCTAATTAAATTATACTTAGTTCAAAGACCTCATAGTCCATCGGTGCTCTACGTGGGTCAGTACATGTATTGATCTTTGCTACAATCGTGTGCTTTGGGTAATTATAAAGTAATTAAATTTTTAATGCTTTATGAACCCACTGGCAGTAAGAATGCTGCTGGAAATGTTGAGCAATGTTTTATGCGGCACTGATTTTAGTCTGTGCTCGCCTTACCTCTTTGGTGCAGCTCTCCACGAAAGGCCCGCCAAACATAGCTGCCATCCAGTCACAGCTAGAGATGAGTAAAGGCTTGTGGGCCATGATCGTCCCATCATCTAGCTTGAATACTACATCTGCAATACAGTAGTCAGACGCCTTACTTACACCTGCATCCACTCTGTTTCATACACATGAACAAACATGAGATATTGATTTTGGCTCACCAGAAAAAGTGCCTTTGGCCAAGCACTCTTTGACTCTGTTTGTGCGCCGTACATGGAAGGCTTTGGTGATTTCTTGGTTCATGAAGGCTTCATTGTTAAGTATGTTTGCCACCATCATGCGCAGGTCAAAGACCTCCAGCAGCTCAGCAATATGTGCAATGTGCATTAGCTCTTTCTCGTTCTCGTCGAGCTGACCGGTATACAGGTAACGAAGTACTGCCCGAAAAGGACCAAGCTGCATGGACTGGTCCATGTGCACTACAGTCATGGGCCTAGGGCTGTACGTTAGAGGGTCATCTACCAGCTCCTCCTGGATGCTGACGAAGGCTCGGCTCCACGAGGAGAGCAGTCTGCCCCGTCGGCCGCCCTCAGAGTCTTTCAAGGTCCCGTCGCTAGTGCAGGCCCTCAGGTTGGCCCTGTCTCCTTCATCACTGCTCTCGCAAACATCAAAGCTAGCAGCACGCATCAGCAGCTCTCGGCCGGAGAGAGGACCACGAGGGGGCCTTTCGGTCTCCTCATGTTGTGTGTCCATAATAAAGAGGTCATAGAACTTTGATGAGGATGTCGCCAAGTATATCTTGTGTGCAAAGATTTTCTGTCGCTCCTGCAGAACCAGGATGACATCAGCACAGTGTGGGTCCTCCAGAAGACCGACTGGATGCTCCTCCGTGGTGGTTGGGGGAGGAGGCACAGTGATTATAGGTGGGGGAGGTTTTGGTGGCAGGAAGGGCGCCTGAAGGAGAGGTCGCTGAACATTTCTGAGGTGAGATTTCCAAAACTGCAGGTGGCGGCGTGATATGAGCGCAGCTCGGATAGCATTATCAAAGACGTCCTTGACTCCAAATTGAGCAACAACACTGGTTTCATAATATGGCACTCCCAACTCTTTGGCCACTTCCCGGCCTCGCTCTGGAGGAAGAATCTCGTTGGATTTAATGGGTCTGAAAAACAAGACAATCTATCAAGGACAACTCTGGAACTCGAAAAGAGTAAAATAGATCCAAAAACAATTTCTGACTGCTCTTTCTTTGACATATTTGAAAATCTTGCATACGTATGCAGACATTCAAGCCCCAGTACCTAGCTAAAGGCCTCCGTGCCCTGTTCACAGCCTCCAGGTCGGCATAGCGCAGGTCCAGCTGACAGCCGACCAAGATGACAGGGGCACGGGGGCAGAAGTGCTTGATCTCAGGGTACCACATGGTCTTCACATGGTACAGAGAGTTGGGGTTGGCGATTGAGAAGCACAGTACCACAACATCAGACCTGAAGGGAAACCACAGGGCAACGTCTCTTAACTCATATAGGATGAGAACAAATACTGGTAGATGAGCGTTGAATTTTACAATTTCTCACCTGCCATAAGCAAAACGCCGGTCCTTATGATGGTCTCCAAAAGTATCCCAGAGCCGAAGGGACACACTGACGTCATCCACTACATCTCTGGAGCGCTCTAATACCTAATAAGGGACAACATATTCATTCAAATGCAACCACCAGTTTCTGTAATTTAGCTGAGTGACTGCAGTGCTAACACTACATATAATACACCGTTTGCACATGCAAGTAATCTGCCTGAAGTCTGGAGCTTTCACACTCACCTCTTGACACACTCTGTATTGGTCAATTGCCCAGACTGTGGGCACATGTGTAGCGAGTAACTGGTACTGAGTCAGGGTGGCATTGCAGGCCCGGGCGCAGATAAGGCGGGTCTTTCCAACTGCATTGTCTCCTACCACCACACACTTGATAGTTTCAACGTTTGGCCTCTCATAGTCCATATCAGAATCTGTCAACTGAGACCTATTAAAACACAAAGACGCACAGAAAGCTGCATCAGCACCACGAGTCCTCAACCAGCGTCCCGAACTCTATAGGAACACGGGTCAGTGCAGACGCTGACTACTCTTCATCTGCACTGCTCATTCTGCCTGCAGAGCTATCAATGGATGGTCTCGTGACGTCCCTGTGCCCATTCACAAGTTCCCTGTCCTTGTTCCTGATATAAAAAAATTTAAAGTGACAAGCAAACAAAAAGAGGGCACTTTCCTTCGAGCAGATTTTACAACAAACTAGTCCTGCAAAACAATACAGTTACATAAAGTAAAAATAAATAAAGCTAATAAAGAATGTTATAATCAGCTTTAATTAAAGGGTAAAGAAATACACATACAGTTTTAATGCAGTGGTTGTCTTGTCTGCTATTGGTTAATATGAGCTGATCCAATCCTGAGTAAACATATGTGTAACCAATTTAACCATCTGCAATCCTAAAATCCCACATTCTTGTTTCTTTACTACAATTCAAGCATAGTCCCATAAGCTGACCTCATATAACCAGAGCCCTAGTACAAGACGTCTTACATGCATGCATACATCTTTAGCAAATGAAATGGAGGGAATGATGACGGTAATAGGTAAATAGACTATTTCCGTCTCTTGAAAATGGTGGCTGATGATTTAGGTACATCAGCCACTGGTTTCCAAGGGAACTGTAGTCGTGTCAACGTGTTACAGCCAACATCAGACAATCCTACTATGAGTTCTACTGACAACGACCTTTTATTTCATTCTATAAACACATTTTTTAAAAAAACATACGGTCCCAAGTTGAGCCGCCACAGCACACAGGACATCAAACTCTGAATGAACACCCACCGTCCCGAACTTAAAGTCACACCTCACAGATCCAGCGCTCACATGTTTAAACACCAGACCTCCATTTGAGTTTTTGCCCCATCGAAAGCAGTAAAGCACTGGGAATCATCAGCAGTCGTATATATATTCTCATTTTTGTCCTTATGAATGAGGTCAGCTACTCCTTCTGCTTCCTGCCTTAACCTCAAACGCACAACATCAAGCAAAAAACTGTCCTGAATAAAACATCACTTTTTGGTCTCCAAAGGACTGCCGCTATAATCAGAAATTCTTATTCACCTCTTGCAGCCAGGATTGTCTATTTTGGTACAATGCACTCAATATTACTATCATGGGTTACTATGATTTTCCCCCCCCTCCTAACGGTCACTTGCAGTTGTAGCCATTCATAAAAAAAAAAAATCAGCTTTTCATTGACTGCACAATCTGCATCCCCATAGGCTCAGTCTCACCTCTTTTCTAAGGCATATATAAACAGCTGACAGTCTGACCTTAGGCTGGGCCTGTATGACTCTGTGGAGATACACCGCCTTTAATATTGCTCATTCATATGCCCTTTCCTGTTACAGTCCACACTGCGCAACTCCAGAATTAATTAATCATCTTTATATCAGATATCCTATATAGGCTACCCCCATATAGTGCACATAATCTCAAATCCATACTGACTAAGCGTGCAGCCTCAGTTATCAGCCATAACAAGATGATAAAATTGTGCATATCCTACCAGAAGGACCGAACAGTCCCTCCACCACCGAGACACTAGTCATGAGGCTCTGCTGCATTACGCGTTATGTAACGCCCCGTCACTGACTCCTGAGCCTGTTTATCTGGCTCCGAGTCCATCGCAAAAAAAAAAAAGAGAAAAAAAAACCACACACACACACACACACACACGGAGCGATGAGGATTTTTCTTTCAATACAATTTCATTCCGTCGCGATGACCAGTTTTATTCTGCGCTCCTTACCGCAACATAAGGAAGTGCTGCATCGGGTTGGTCGATGAACGAGATAGAAAGCAGGGCTCCATCGGATGCGGCTGGCACCTGACGGCAGCTCGTATTTAACTTCATCTTCGAGGCAAGGTTGAACGAGGCTCGAAAATAGCCGGCCGATCGCGGGTGTTTTTTGGTCAGAAGAGCTCTCTGGATCGGGCCGATAAGTCCGGTCGCATTGGCAAAAAATACGAGCGCTGATCTGAGGTCTGTCGGTGCGTTGCAGAGCTGCAGCCCTGACCGTCATGGAGCCACCTCCACTTACTGTAAGGCCTCCGTAGCTAATAATAGGCAGGCGCACAGACGAGGGGGGAAGAAAAAAAAAGAGGAAAAAAAAAAAAAACACCATTCATTACAAAACACTGATCCACTTTAAAGTCGCACAAATCTCATTCCACAGCTCCTAAGCAGCCTGGATAGAGCGGCCTCCAGTCCAGCAAACTGCTCTCACTTGCTTTAGACCAGTGGTTAACATGTGCATGTAGGCCTGGGAGTTCAGTATGAAGCCCTCATATGCACACATAGTGGTTGCATACATGGCACATGAGTGGCCCACCAAGAACAGACTACATTCATGTAGGCCTAACATCATTTAAAAGCAGAGTAAAAGGATTCATGATCACAACTTAACTTTCCAATAACTCAAAGATCAACTGTTTGCTGGTGCTACATTTACAAGTTTGGCTCCTTTTAACTGTGCATTATGC